TCATGGACAACTGCCGGGCAGCTGGATAGGGAGGAAGAACCCAGGATGTGAACGAGTTGCTGGGAGCACACCTCCCAAGGAGACTTCTTGCGGAGTGTCGCTGTGGGTGTGGGCTATTGGATAGAGGAGAGCAAGGAAAGTGTTAGGACAAGATTTCCAAGCCAGGCTATACATTTGTGCACGTGGATATTTGGACTGAAAAACCAGTGCACCTGTGTCTACAATCAGGCAGTAAATGGTTCAGTGGTCGCAGCAAGAGCAGGGCTCATTTGGGAGGCAAATTGAAACTCTTTAAGCAAAGTGATTCAGAAGGAGATGTTCAATAGCCTTCCCCTGGGAACATTTCCTCCCAAGGTATTAATCAGGGCACCAGGCAAAATACTCCAAAATATTGTTCCAAAGCTAAGAATGTAACTCAGAGACAGAAACCATGGAAACCCACTTATTTTCTGAAATGTTGCCTCTCTTTGGAAGAGAAGATGACAGGATGAATAAGCAGGTAGTCTTTACTTAAAGGTTATGCATGAGTCACGGTACCCTCTGAATGTCTTTAATGTGTGAAATACCCAGGTAAATGTCTACATAAAGTGGTACACATAAGAGTGAAATTAGAGCATAGATTGGAAATTTAAAAATGCCCGAAAAGTATAGAGTTTACAGAATTTAACATTTGTAAATAATTTCTGTAGGATCTGAGGCACAGTTTTATTTTTATGATTAGGACTTTTAATTAGATTTAAAATCCTGGCTCTTTACATTAGCTGTAGACTTGTGTAACTTAACAGCCTCTGTAAGCCTCAATTTTTTCTCATCTCTTTGGAGACAGTTAATAATAGCAGGGCTTTGCTGTAGATGGGATGCTGTTACAAAGTATAGTTAAATCTATGGTTCAGTATATTTAAAAATATTTTTTATAAGGCGTCGAGATGAGAGTGAAGCTAAAGCTCTAATTAGTAGGGTAATTAACCCACCTAATACGGTAGTTGTCAGAATTCAGTGAAATAACATACATGAAATGTTTAGCACAATGCCTGGTCCACAGCAAATGTTCCATAAAAATTAACCCCTATGGCAGCATTCTAGCCTTTAAGCCATAAAAGGAAATAATCGATTATTTCCAAGTGAAAAGAATTCTCGTCGGTGGGTATTCTCAGTTTACTTCAAGAAATCTATTCTTTTTACTAGCATAAAGAAATGAGAGAACTTGGCCAAAAAAAAAAAAAAAATACCTGGATAAGGATCCGATCCATGCAGTGTTGTTCTTTGAATTCTGCCTTTTAGTAGGGACTAGTATTTAATATTTTTTGTACACCTACCATGTGTCAGGCACTTTGTATTCACACAGTCCTGTGAAGTGGCTATAACTGTCCCATATTACAGGCAAGGAAACTGAGGCTCAACGAAATAAAAGAACTTGACCAAGCCTAGGTACTATGTCAGCAGAACTGGGATGTGAATGCCAGGGGCAACACTGCTTCAGTTCATTTCGCAATGCCTTGGAAGTAGAAAGAAAGAGTTTCATGGGCAAAGTCTGGCCCTGCTATGGACTCCAAGTAATAGCAACATTTCTGTTTTGATGTTCCCATTAAAATCTTATCCTCTTGCTGAGGGGCCTGGCAGAATGGCAAGTGTCACCCTTGAGCAGGCACGTAAGTCAAGTGGTAAATCACATTCAGAGTTTGGGTTACTTCCCCTGCTTAGGGAATGTGAGTGGCTCTGCCTGGTTCAACTTCATCAGTTGGCTCAACTGCTACTCAGTGCTAACAGGAAATTGTACTGATTTAGCTGGTAATAAGAGCCTCTCAAGCACTGTGGGTACTTGTTTAGGAGAATGATTGAATTTAAAAACATGCACCTGATTTTCTTTCAGCAGCTTTACAAACATCCGAGAATAAAATGTTCCATTATCAGGTAAAGCTGCTTTGGCAATGTGATTTTTATAATGCTGGGCAGTAGGGGAGGTTGCTTAATACAGATAAGGCATAGATATTTTTTCTCTTCATGTGTTGTTTCGGAACATTCTGTTGCTTGTACATTTCTAACCAGATAAACATGCCTCTATAGGCCACGAGAAAACAGAATTTTTTCTTTCTTTATTTTTTTTCAAATACATCTTTTTAGGATCACTCCTTAAACAAAGCAGTTTGCTATTATTAGAGATACTTGTCTGTGTTAGGCATTTTGCTATTTTTAGAGCATTTGCATTTACAGCTCTCTTTTCATTTTTCAGCTGGAGAGCACTAAACCTGGCTTGCTTTGAGATCTAAGTTACCCTTTACTGACTCTGTGGCATTAATTAAGTCACTTAATCTCTCTGTGCCTATTTCCTCACTTGTGAAATGGAGGTGTTGATGCTTTCTTTTTAGGATTGCTGTTTTAAATGACTTAGTGTAAGTACTTTGTAAATTATATAAATTCCTTTAAAAGTGAACCACTACTTTTATTCTATTTAAGGACTAAACTCATTTGGTGTTCACAAAGGAGTATTCATGGATTCATAGCATCATGAAGATATAAAAGTTGTAGTGAGATGTGAGAAATTGGATAATGAACAAATATGTAATTGGTAATTTACCAAAGAGCGTAGGGGGACATGGAAGGAGATCCTAAGTGTGGTTGGAGCTTTTTGGAGAAATGAGAGAAAAGGAACAGAACATATTTCAAACATTTTCTATAAGGGAGAATACCTTTTCAGTCCACGGACGTTGCTGTGTGCCATCATTTCAAAGGCAGTGTGGGGTAGTCAAATGAGTCAGTCCCTGATCTTCCACTTCCTAGTTGTGTGAATTCCTTAACTTCTTTGAAATAAGTGAAGGTAGCAATAGCTACCCTCACCAGGTTATGATGATTAAATGTGACAATATATGTAAAGTGCCTGGTGTATACTATGGCTTATTAAATATCTCTTTCTCTTCCTCTTCCTCTCCCTCCTCCTCTTCCTTTTTAATTTTTGGTTAGGAAGAAGCTCTAACTAGAATCCACTATCAATACTACTAGAAGCTTACGTGCTTCTCAGAGCATTCAGGCAAGGTCTAAAAGCAATCAGCAGAGTCCTGGTTAATACTCGGATTACTCAAAATGCTGTCCAAGCCTGTTAATGGAGTTTGTGTATATGTAGCCACTTCAATTATCATCAGATGCAGAGAAAGCTGTAGGTGTTCAGTATGTGGAAAGACTCTAAAAGGAGGTTTTGAGGGGAAGCAAGTAGGTGTCTGTGCAGTGGGAAAGGTTTGCAGGGATTAAATTTAGGACTCTTTCAGAGATAAGCATTCTGTGTTGAGGAATGAAGAAAGTAATCACCCACTTAAGCCGGACTCTCGGTGAGAAGGTCTTGCTAAGGGATGCCTTGATAAGAATTGAGTTTTTCAAGCTATAGGGTTGACTTACTGGGTTATTTTTTAAAGTATTTATTATTCACTATTTAGAAGCACTTCATATCTAAACAACTGATGGGTTTATAAATGCAAACATTTCAATTCTGTAACCTTTTAAGAATTGTTAATTCTTAAAGTTAATTCTTAAATTGTTAATTCAAAAACATCTAGATAAGGATGAGCAGTCAATGATTTTAGCTATTAAATATACAAGTGCATGCAATCAATCAAGTAAAATGGAAATCATTTGTAGGGAGGAAGCCTTTTTTCATGTTGTCAGTTTTAAGTGTAATCAGATCTGTTTGTATAGTGCAGCGAGTATGGACAAAATATGTTCGTAGCACAGCTACCAAATATTAAATGTCACTAAAAGATCCGTGTCTCATATCTTTTCTATAGTCCTCACTAAAGGCAATGAATTAAAGTAAGTGAGGTTTTGAAAGTTGTCTACATTCAAAGATGTGTAGACTTTAATTTGTTGTCGTGCTTATAAGACAAGAAATTCCATCTTTTCAATGTTTTCCCTGTGTAGGTTAGAAAATGATTCTGGTCTGTCCCATATCTGTTTCTTCTGTGCTTTTTCACATGTGATAATACTAGTAATCCCATCTTACATTTGAGCTTTCCATTTTTTTTATGTCCATCACCTTATTTCAAGCCAAGATAATTTTAAAACATTACTTCTTACCCCAGCAGTTGCCTGACTGTACTGATCTCACATAATAAGCAGGAAAGGGCGTTGAGAAATGAAGTGAACACCTGTGACCAAATCACCAAAGAACCAGAAGAGGGAAACTGTGAGTAGAGTACTGCTAGAGAACCTTCTTTTTCAAAATATCACCATTGTGATTGAGGAAGGCCTGAGAGAGATATGATGGAAGGACAGGATAAACACACCTGTAGACTTGTCACCTGTCCTAAGGTGAGAATAGGGGCTGGGGCTGTAAAGAAGAACTGTCATTTGTGTACCTACCGTGTGCCAGGTAGGTGCTGGTAGTTTGGCACATGTATTTTTTAATCTGATCAATAACACTAAAAGGTAGGCATTCCTACCATTCTGGAGGAAACAGGCTCAGAGAAGTGTAAGTCATCAATATGCACTTAAAAAATAAATCTAGCGTTGCTACACTCAGGTGATAGTTACAGTAAAATTTGTTTTATGGCCTTCTGGTGTGATTCCCTAGTCTTTTTCAGAAATTCATATGGAAGGCTGGCCTCCGTGGCTTACACCTGTAATCCTAGCACATTGGGAGGCCCAGGCAGGTGCATCACTTTGAGCTCAGGAGTTCTAGACCAGCCTGGGCAACATGGTGAAACCCTGTCTCTACAAAAATATAAAAATTAGCCGAGAATTGGTGGTGGGCACCTGTAGTCCTAGCTACTCGAGAGGCTGAGGTTGGAGGATTGCTTGAGCCCTGGGAGTGGAGGTTGTAGTGAGCTGAGATAGCACCACTGTACCGCAGCCTAGGCGACAGTGTGAAAGCCTGCCTAAAAAAAAAAAAAAAAAAAAGAAATTCAAATGGAAGATTCGATGGTGCCTCTGAAAGTCATAATGGCATGTCTATGTACGACATGGGACAAAGTCAAAATCAAGGTAGTTGTGGAGTGTCTGAGTGAGGGCCATACCTGAGGATACTTTCTTCTAGAACCTGGATCTGGTGCTGGTCTTGTTGATTTTGCTTCTTCATCTCTTCCTGTTCTTTTCCACTGCTGATTCCATCTAGAAGCCATTTCTCCCTCAAGGCCTTTTTCTGATGTCAGGAAACATAAAGATATGTTCTCATATGGGTCAATAGTTTCCAAAATCTCTTACTGCTTTCAAATCTAATGAATTTCAATAGGTGACATGTTAAAGAGGAAGTATTTTCTCTCAGTGTCTTGCCTGAATAAATCTCGTATTGTCTTTCTTTGTAGTCTTCTTGACTCTATTCAAAGCCAATTTGTATGCATCTAAATCTCATTTATACTTCAAGGTTTAGTTTGGGTCCCTCCTTTGGCATGAAGATCCCTGGCCCCCATACTCCAGGCAGCCCCATCTCGACCCCACTTTCTGTCTTCAGAATCATGCCATGATTGTGAAGTCATAATGGGACCTCATAAATGATGTCTTTAGTGTTATTTGTTATTGATGGTTGTATATCTTGTGTCCTTAACAAAGTCAAAATCTTCTTGAAGCCATTTTGATATTCCCCCCAGTGAGAGCATATAACTGCTTCAAATTTTTGTGGAATTAATTGGAATGGTGGGAAAAACAGAAGTTTGCTGTTGTGCCTTAAACATATTCACTGTTAGCCTCAGGCTGTGTGGTAGCTATTTATTGTTTTACCTACTTAACAACCCTTCTTTCTTCTCAGAATCTCCCTGGTTGTAGACATTCTTAAGCACAAAATTTACTGATCTCTCTAAACGTTGGTGAGTTTTTGTCAACTTTAACAACACAGAGAAAATTATATTTCACCATATGGAAAAAAACAAAAATCTCCTCTTGAGTTTGCATGAGGAGATGAAACTCCTGGGCCTGGAGTTTAAAGACCTAAGATGACTTAAAACAAATGAAAAAGATCTTTAAATTTTGGATGGGCTTTAATTAGCATGTAGTCTACATCTCAAGTAGAAAGTGTCAGATATACTGTCATGTTATTTTCAAGGAGCTCGTTTCTCTTTTTCTCTTGGAATAAAAGGACTCTCATTACATACCTAATCTGCCTCTATAAATTATTTGTTCAGTTATTCGTTGTTAATTATTCATTGGGGATTCACTATGTTTAAAATCCATCAGGAAAGAATCAGAACTTTATTTTTTGGGACTTCTTTCTCTTATATTAAAATTTAATGAGAGCAAGTAAGAATAATTTTGTGCTTTTTTTAAGGGATGCTAGAATAAATACCACTGAAATACAAATATCTGAATCAAAAACACATTTAAAATTAAGTTTCATTTTGATAGATAATTACCAAAGGATGTTTTTTTTTTAATTTTAATTTTAATTTTAATTTTTACTAAGGTAAAGACTTTTAAACATTTTTTTTTAAAAAAGAACCCCAATATAACACTATAACTTATAACATTACAAATAAACGTTATATGGAACTATAGTTTGGAAAACAGATGAATTCAGGACTGCTCTAATTGAAGCAGCGTGGGGACCTGAAGGCTTATGGATGCACAGAACATGGTTTGAAAACCACTAGATTGAGTAAATAACAGCTTCACCCCCGATCATCACATTTGTGTTGGCCTTTTGAGAGTCTTAAGCAATTGCATGTGGATAATATACACCATAAAAGCAATTTGTATTACTGCACTCTGTGGCCAGAGATTGTTTACCCAGTGTTATCTTAACCATTGGTTATAGCTGTTAAGCTGTTTGTAAAAATGTTTTCCTGCAGACCCAGTAAATATTATTAACATTGGTCAATATTCAGCTCCTGGGGTCAAAGATGCTAAGAAAATCTGAATATAGCATCATTTTAATAATTTACCTTGGTTCAAATTTATTTTTAATTGATGGAATTTTAGCTAATGCATAGAAAAGAAGACAGTAACAACTATAGAAGTCAGTTATACTCCTTACAAAACACCTATAAGGAAAGCTCCAGTCAATTGTATACATGTCTCTTTAAGAAACAGTTAGATGGGGTGGTTTTATGAGGCTGAATTATAGGGGGCAGCAAATCATTCTTGTGATGTGTTAGGCTTCCTTCTTAATGCTTAGTCTGGTTAGAAATAATTTTAATTTTAGTCTTGTAAAACTTTGTTCATACTTCTTAAATTTTCATTTATTCCTGGTGGAGAACTCACTACCACTGAACTTAAATATAAAATATACAATTTGGATATGCAATCAAAATGATGTATTGCAATCACATATATACTGTAGTAATCAAAATGGCTATTTTGTTTTTATGTCACAGTTTAGACTTGTGCTTTAATATATGAGGCTAATGAATATAATAAAATCTACTTTACAATGAAATTCAGAATTGAAAGCCATATGAACTAAATGAAAATGTGACATGCAGGTGATAGAGCTTTCTGCAGTTTTTTTTAGGAAAAGGTTTTCTTGAAGCACTTCTATATCTACCCAGAAGTTACAGTAGACCTGGAATAAAATGGTTTTCATAGACTGAATTGAGTGGACTCACGGAAATCAAACATTTTTCAGACTGAGTGTATTTTGTGTTTCCTTGTAACATGAGATTGTGATCATATTACTAAGCAAGAAGATCCATACAGAGAAAAGTCTCGGAATAATTTGAATATTAAGATGTAAAAATGTCCCAGAATCTGCCTTGCTAGTGCATTGTGGGAATGATCATCAAATTCAGGAGCTAAAGAGTATCAGAGTGAGTTACTATCACTATTTTGAAACGTGTGTATTCTGATATAGGAGGAACACTTTGTAAATGTTTATGCTTATGTTGTTTAATGTGTGTCACTGAAGTATAATGAACTAGTTTGCAGTCAGGAAGGTGGAGACCTTAGTCGTGAAAACCAGGACAAATGGAAGCAGAAGAAAATAAGAGACAGGCTACAGAGGCCAGTAGAGCTTTCCTAACTTGGTGAACACATTGTAGAGTAGTTTTTAAAAATACTTTTGCACATTTTGAACCCTGTTTGGGAATTATGCCTTGTTGCTGTTTGGTATAGCCAACTATTTTCTGCAAAACTTAGAAGAATACGCTTTACTGAAACAGCCACTCTTTCTTCTCTGTGCCCTGTGCAGTTGGTGCCTCCCATAAAGTATTTATCACAGAATCAGCGTCATCATGAGTTTACATATCAGTTACCATTTTAAGGACACAGGTCAAATTTCACTTATTTTATATTCTTAGTGTCTAGTTTGTACCTTGTATATAATAGGTACTTAATATTTACTGACTAAGGCCCTATGTACATTCATATAAATTCTACTTATCAGTTAAGACTCAGCTTGAAACACACACAAACAGTGCTTTCTTGACCACCCCAGATTAAAGAATACGTATACTGTGGTTTAAATTAAAACAACTATCCTTTACCTTGTTTACTTAATCTTGAATTTCCTAAGTTAGGACAATGTGTCATCTCCCCCAGTTCCCAGCCCTGCGGGCTCCACACATAACAGTTTTGGCCAGTGAACAGCTGGGTAAAGTGCGTAGCCCTTTCAGGCAGAGAAGATGGAAACTTTTTGCTCCAGGTATAACATCCCTGAACCAGAGTGCAGTACTGGCAAAGGAATACAGACAGGATTTTGGCACTATCACTTCAGATATCTTTGTGCAGTACACACACTGTGCAACTGTATATGGCAGACCAAAACATGATAAATGTTTTGGTTGGATTGGATTGGAAGAGGTCTCCTGTGTTCTGGAGAGCAAACCAGTAAGGAAGATGATGTACTACTTTCCAGACTGTTTTTGGCAAGTGCTGAAATGACGTGCTACCTCAGAAATGGACCTTTCAGTGAGTCAGGGCTTTCATGTGAGACTTACTTTCTAGAATGAACTGAGGGGATATTTAAATCTTCTCTTCTACTGTGAGCTCCACTGTTTTGTGGTTATCCATTCTGCAAAGGTAGCAATTGCCCATTCTCAAGGATAGCTAGAGAGCTGTCAGTTTACTCAGAAGCAGAAAGTAGTTCATTGGGAGATCCAGATTATATGAGTAAATTCTGTGTGTGTGTGTGTGTGTGTAAATTGTGCAAGTGTGTGTGTAAGAGCGAGAGAGAGGAAAGGAGAAGAAATGACCTCTAACTCCTCTTGTTTCGGAGTTAGAAAGGCTCCATCTAAAACACTGTTCTACATTTGACTGTTGACTTCATTTGAATTGCACTGGAACAACTTCACACTTAAAAAACAAATTTCATTGATTTTTCTAGGAGTACACACTGCATTTCTTGACTATGTATACTACTCATGTAAATTCAGTGTGACGTATTAGAAGGGCAGCAGACTTACTATACTTTGAAATCCATTAAACATCGGAAATGTCAACTTACTTAGAAGCAAAGAAGCAAACAGAATCCAGAGAGCTGAGGCTAATTGGAATCTTAAATTACATTTTTTTTTTTTCAGAGGTAGGTACTTGTTCCATTAAAAAAATGAAGTCAGTTGCATTCGGCAAGTTAATTTAAATTTGTAGACCCTGTGAGTGTGCAGCCTTGTATCATTAAGGGGATTCATTAAGTCTATTGATAGGAACCGTGCCAGATAAGTAGTTTCCTGCTTGAGTCTTTTCACAAGGAGCTTCTGTTTGTCATTTGCTTGCATCCTGTCGCTAAGCTAAGTAATAAAATGTTGAAACCCAATGCGCTTTAATTACGAAGTGACCACACCCAGTGAAAGATGTAAAATCTGATTTTAAACATGGAGAGTTATTTTTGGTTATGATCTCATGTTCTGTCAAAACAAAATAAAACAAAAACCCAAAGCATGCTCAAACAACATTGGGCTCACGGCACTGAGCTTTTAAATGCAAGCATCCTTGACCATGCCAGACGCTGTTCTGCACCCCCGGGGGAACCGCTGGCCTTTCATTGATTTCAAAAGGAACTTCCTAGCTGGATCCACTCCCTAGGGATGTTAAGCAAGACTGTGAGCAGGGCCAAATTCTCAAGGCTGAATTCTCAAGGTTACTCAAGAAAATTGGGAAACTCAGTAATAAATGATACAAGTAAGAAAATGATGTTTTCAGCTTTGCACGTTTGCTAGAAGGTATTAATCTCGTATGCAAATATTACCAGCTTGTTGGCCTCTCCTGTGGTTATTACAATGTTAATCAAACGTTCTTCGAATTTTTTTCTTTCCTAAAGCTTTTTTAATATTGAAATTTGAGTACCATTAGAATTTTTGAATACAAAATCATTGAAATGAAATTAAAGTCGTAAGTTACCTTCAAATGCTGGTGCTTTAGTTTGTCTTCCTCTATTTTCAGACGCTTCTGTGAGATTTCTTCCTGTATTTTTCTTTTATCCTGAAATAAAAAAAGTTCCAACATATTTTATTTTAAAAATTTGTTTAATTATGTTTTCTTAGGGTTGTTGTCACTATCTGAATGGCCCATTAGAGAGATTTTCTTGGCATTGGTATGAAGCTGCTTTGGAAACTCCTATTTCAAAAGAAAGGAGAGGAAAGTGAGACATTCAAAGCATTTTGCTTATGGGAAAGAATATGTAAAGGTACTTTTCCAAACAGGGCTTAAACATCCTTCTTCACTCCCCTTTTCTTTCTTTCCCATTAGTCTAGCAAGATTGACCTACTGAGTGATGTAATAGAACAAATGAATCGTAAGGAGAGAGTTTTGAAATAGATGTGAGGAAACACCGTGAGAAGAGAGAATGGTCCTGGTCCAATGTTGAAGAAATTTCCAGGTGAAAGGACTCCTTATGTGGAAAAACAGGTCGACAGATGAATCATTAGAAAACTAGGAAGCTGGGAAGTGGGACTGTTTCCTCCTTGTATAGCCTGCTGTGGGAAGATAGAGGAAAAGAATTGAGATAGTACTTCTTAACACTAAAAGGACTTTTAGCTCCCATCAAACAAAACTCATGAAGATATATCTTTCACCCAGTTTAAATTATGTTACTTCAAACAACCCAGAAAGCATAGCTACTAATACAAAAATGTTGTACTTTTAAGAAAACATAGCAAGTAATATTAAGTAGACAGTCTGGGTTTGACTTCTGCCTCCTCTGTGTACTAGCTCTGTGTCTTTGAACAGAATCCTCAACTTCTCTGTGCCTCAGTAACCTCATCTGTAAAATGAGGCTACCGAGAGTACCTACTTGATATATGTAAAAGTTTCTAGAACAGCGCTTGACACAGTGCTCTCGAAATACTTAATAACATTAAATAAATAAACATATAACTTGTTAAACACCTAGAAAGCGACACATTAGATCTGACAGTGCTTTCATTAGCTTGAAATGTTTTAGAGATTCTTCGACATTGTTTGAGACATTTGACTAGTCATGCAAAAAGGTCTTTATTTCCTTATTTTTGATCAGAGGTGACATTCTTTTCCATCTTATATGTTGGTATTAAATTTGCTTTCAAAATTCAAAACTCCCAAAGGATAAAATATTGTTGCCAATGAAGACATCCAAAAGAAGTAGGCAATAAAGGTAATTTAGAAGAAGGAGTTAAAAAAATATTTTGCAGCATTATTGAGATACGTGCATGGCTTCCTGATGTGACTATTTTGAAGATAAAAACTCTTTTTGATGTATAAGTTCAGGTACATTTGTTGAAGAAAGGCAACATATTGCTCTCCAAATGTATGCTGTGTTTCTCTTTGCATGGAAGAAGAATATATGACTTCATCAGCTTATTATTACTATTATTATTACTTTTGAGATAAGGTCTCATTCTATTGCCCAGGCTGGAGTACAGTGGCACAATCATGGCTCACTGCAGCCTTGACCGCCTAGACTCAAACAATCCTCCCACCTTAGCCTCCTGAGTAGCTGGGATTGTAGGTGAACGCTACCATGCCTGGCTATTTTTTAATGTTTTGTTGAGACCGGGTCTCACTATGTGACTCAGGCTATATCAGCGTACTTTTAAAATTTTGTATTTGTTTTGAAAAAAGAAAAAAAAAGCTAGGCAACAGGCATGGATCTTGAGAATCACTTCTTTCTTTGGATGAAATCTGGCCATTAGTAGCAAAAACTCTGAAAGCCTCTGTGAATCAATTCTTCACTATCTCCAGAGGCTGTTCTTGAGCAAATATTAATTATATTTTAAATTCATTATGCCAAACATTTTGGTAATTATTTTTCAGGCACCATTTTACTTAATACTTATCATAACAAACAGATGCTATGATCATTTCCATTTACAAAGAGGAGATGGAAGTTTAGGGGGAAATTAACTCAGCCAAGTTTTTATAATTGTCAGAGCCAGCATTTGAACCCAGGCAGTCTGAAGTCAGCCTCCACACTCCTAGCCAATTCATGGTGCCAATCCCTGGAGCAGAAAGTTAATCAAGCTAGTCTCAACTTCTGCCTTTTTCTTCTACATGGTGAAGTACTGTAGTCTGGAGGCAGCACTAGGACAGCAAGCACTGAATGTGACCTCTCATTAGCAGGGAGCACATTTTTAGTTCCCTAGATGCTGGTGCTGTAACTAGCTCTTCATGAAGAACCCATAGAGAAGAACATGTTATGTGTAGCGGACAGGGATTGCTGAACCCAGCAATGCCTCCCCACCCCTGCTGATCGCCAGTTTGGGCTGGTTTGCCATCTGGGCTAGTTTCATCCTGGGGTTAGTAATCAGGTAATTGAAGCTGTGGGTAGACGCATGGCATCCGAAGTGTTTTGGCAACAACAGGCTTATACAAGGGTTGCTAAGGAATACTAATGTTTTGTCACTCCGAGGTAATATGATGCCTCTCTTATATCAGTCTATGTAGGAAGGAAGGAAATTTCATAATGTTATAGGCATGATCCTTTTTTAAGATAGGTATACTTTATCCTCATAAGATATTCATCAGCAGAGAGTTATTGTTCCTTTGTCAAATTTCACTGGACTCTGTTAGCGTTAATGAAAAACAGTATGACAATAACTTAGTTTCAGTACAGCAGAATAAACTACATGTCAACCTTAAGTCGTTTATCTAGCTCAGTTGCTAGTGTACCAGAAGTTATCAGAGTCAGCTAATTTCTTCCCAAATTTTCATGGAGTGAATAAATGTGAAATGCCATCTGCTTCCCCAAATTTCCCCAGAACCTGCAGTACTCTTATAGATAGCTGCTGCAACCTGGCACATCAGACATCACTGGTTATTAATGTAAGCATTATGAATAACACATTGTTGCTTATTTCTCAATGTTCAACTACCTTGACTTTTTGTTCAATAGATTTTGCCTAGATTTTTAGCTGTGACAGCCTATTTTAGCAACTGACACCCACAAATTTCAATCTGTAAAAGGTTATCTCTTAATTATTTTGAAAATTAATTTATTCACCTTGTACAACTATAAAGTTATTGTGACTAATATGATCCAATGATATTACCACAATCACATATTTGATAAAAGTAAGCACAATGCTTAAGAGTGTAAATATTTTGATATATCATTGATTAACAATGAGCTAAATTCTAATATGCCTAATCCTGTCAAGAAGGCAGAATTGATCCTGAGTTGTTTGATTATTGATTTATTCAATATTTAGCTACATATGTACAAATGCTACATTCAAGATGACATTAGGAGTTGTGCAGGGTTTCAAAATTATTTGGTAGATGTGCATTTACATTTTTATTTTTTGAGACAGCATCTTGCTCTGTCGCCAAGGCTGGAGTGCAGTAGCATAATCGTAGCTCACTGAAGCTTCAGTTTCCCAGACTCAAGTCATCCTCCTGCCTCAGCCTTCCAAGTAGCTAGGGCTACAGGTGCACATCACCACACCTGGCTATGTTTTATTTTATTTTATTTTTAAGAGAGATAAGACCTTTCTGTGTTGTCCAGGCTGGTCTCAAACTCCTGAGCTCCAGCAATCCTCCCACTTTGGCTAAAGAATGTCATTTGTGCAAGTAACCGTAGTCTAGAAATAAAGTTATGACATGTAATAGTTTTTTTTTTTTTTTTTTTTTTTTTTGAGACAGAGTCTTGCTCCATCTAGGCTGGAGTGCATTAGCACAATCTTGACTCACTGCAACCTCTGCCTCCTGGTCTCAAGTGATTCTTGTGCCTAAGTCTCCTGAGTAGATAAGATGACAGGCATGCCCCACCACGCATGGGTAATTTTTGTATTTTTAGTAGAGATGGAGTTTTGTCGTGTTGGCCAGGCTGGTTTTGAAATCCTGGCCTTAAGTGATCCACTCTAAAGTGTTGGATTATAAACATGAGCCACCACACTGGCCAAAATGTAGTAACTTTAGTAGTAATACATATTATCACTAAGGCACTAGTAAGGTACAATGCAGGTTGAGGGGAGACAGGGGGAGGTTGCACCTAGCTGATGTCATTAAGAGAAGTTTTGGTGTAACATCTGAGTGGAATATTTTGGGTAGTTACAGTGGGTCTGGAGAGTAGGGGGAAAGGGCATTCAAGTCAAGGGCTTGATGTGAGCAAAGGCCTGGAACCAGAACACTGGGAAATTATTTAGAACAGCAAGTCTGGAATCTAAGTTACCATATACGGAGTAGCAGGAAATTAAGAAAAACCAGACGAGGATAGATTCTCAGCAGTGAATACTGAATGGCATGACAAAGGATTCTGAATTTATTTACATATTGAGATAAGGAGCAATAAAAAGTTTTCAGGGAAAGAAGAATGATAGAGTTAAAATACGTTTTAAGAAGTTGAATGTAGCCTCATTGTGTAGTAGCTATGAAAGAGAGAGAAAATGAAGAGAGAATCAGTTAGGCCACTGCACAACTCATGCATAAGGCCATGAGAACTTGAACGAGAAGTAGCAGAGGGCTTGGATGTCAGTTAGCAAGGAGTTAGAATTGTCAGGGCTTGGCAACTGATGACACAGCATTGCGGAAAAGGAAAGTGCCAAATGGAATGCAAGGCTGTTATGCTTAGGCAACTGACCAGAGCAGAACGACGCATAGAAACAGGAGTATCAGGGGCCGGGCGCGGTGGCTCAAGCCTGTAATCCCAGCACTTTGGGAGGCCGAGGCGGGTGGATCACGAGGTCAAGAGATCAAGACCATCCTGGTCAACATGGTGAAACCCCGTCTCTACTAAAAATACAAAAAATTCGCTGGGCATGGTGGTGCGTGCCTGTAATCCCAGCTACTCAGGAGGCTGAGGCAGGAGAATTGCCTGAACCCAGGAGGCAGAGGTTGCGGTGAGCCGAGATCGCGCCATTGCACTCCAGCCTGGGTAACAAGAGCGAAACTCCGTCTCAAAAAAAAAAAAAAAAAAAAAAAAAAAAGGAGTATCAGGAGAAGGAAGATTTTGGGAAAAAAGATGACGGATTCACCAAGTTGGAGGTGTCCCTGGGCCAAATAGTTAG